TACCGGAGTAGCCAGGAGTTGTAATTCCACATCCCAGACCCACCAATTACATTCACAGGCAAGCCGGGAGAATTGTGCGCACACTTATCAATATCAAGACTAACACTATTAAGCTGGGTGCCCTAATGGAATTGTATTTGTCTGTGATATAAGATGACAAATAGCAAAGTTAGCGGAGATGGCACCATGTAAAACCGGGATATGAAATCTCATCAAAGATGGAAGGTTTTGGGGGGAGCGGCAGAGAAACCACCAGCACCCCAAAATGGCAACATTTAAAGGTCAAGACTGCCACTGACTGAAGTGCCATAAAGTGGTGCCAGCCCCTGGAAGGCAGCTATCCAGAACCGCAGGTGTGGAAATCAGCTGAACTCAAGTGATTTCAAAGCAAATTACCTGAATTTGCATGCAGGATTTGGCCCTCTCATTTTCCATGGTGAAGCTTGAGCAGGTCTCTATTTCAGGTCTCCACTTAATTCTTCTGTGGATTAACGTGGCAAGGAAAGTGCAGGTATCAGAACTCTCCAAATCTCATTCTCTCTCCTCCTCCCTCCAATACTCCCTTCTTATTTAAAAATAATTTAAAATGATCTCTTTTTGCAAAGGCTCACAGCTAAAATGTTCCATTTGCTGAGCTTTCCAGCGTTCCCCTCTCACTGCTGTCCAGCGCTATAAAGTGAATATATTGCATCCCTCCCCAGTTGCCTTAGGAAGTGGTCAAACGGCTGCATTCCTCAGCTGATGGATTGGTGCGTTCCTTTCTTGCTTAATCCCAGACAGTGTTTTTATGAGCCTGTCTTGTGACAGGCTTGAGACACTTTGAATCAAACAAAATCCTAGCTGAGATCACAAAAGCAGTCTTTAAATTGTGCTTTGCCATGCCTTTATTTTTAAGTGAAATTGTAGTTAAACCGGTAAAGGCCCTCGATGAAATGTTCTGGGGACTTTCCCCGATTGTATGAAATCCCAAGATGTGGATGTGGGTACCGCTCTGGGACGAAACGTGCGTGTAAGTGCTTTGTGGTTTTTGGGTGTGTTTGTCCATTAATTTGTTCAGGAAGCCTTTGAAGCTTTATCTTGCAATCCAAAGCAAACACGCTTCTGTTAAAATAATCTATGCTACTGGGGATAAAATATCTAATCTTATTAGCTTCCTCTGCACTATGTCTCTCTTCTTGGCCAATGGCTAAGCTGTATCATTTAAATCCGAGAGCTCGCATTTGTGTTCCTGCCTGATGCGAAAGTTGTGCCGTGTGGTTTGGGGTGAGAGCCCCTGCCGTGTTAGCCGTGCCCAGACTCTCTCCCCCAGGGCCAGAGCCCAGAGAATGAGGCAGGATGAACACTAACGGTAATGAATCCTCAGCAGAAGAAATCTGTTTGTCCCCTCCCTACCAGGATTTGGCAGAGTGTTTGGGCACACATGGACCTTGACAAACTTTGTTGTTGCAGAGCTCTTTGACTAATGGGACTGAAGCGCAGGGATTGCTGCTCAGGGGCTCGTGCCAAGTGCACCAGCTCTGAGAGCAGTAGGTCGTGCAGGCCAGGACCCGTATTTTGCTGTGCTGTCGGAGGGCTGGCAGGGCCAAGCTCTGCCCAGTGCTGAATCCCAGGACGCAGAAATCTTCTGCGGTGGTTGGATGAGAGTGTGGAGCTGGGCTGTGAGGGCCTCATGCGAGGAAGAGAAATAAGTGACGAGGCCAGGTGGTGCATCCCTCTGCCTTGGGACTCCCAGGATCTCTCTCCCTTGCTCCTTTGCTGCCCTCGAAGGCTGTTCTTTCCAAGCAGCACAGACACCGATGATGCAGCTCACCGCTGAGGCAACAAGAACACCTTAAATTTTGTGTGCGGCCCTGAATTACATCCCCAAAGTAAAGTGAACACAGTAGATCAAAACACGTGATAGTTTTCTGCTGGACTCTACAAGGTCTGAGAGGCTGTAGTGTGTGTGTTTGTTGTGAAATGGGCCTCTCTGGTGATGATTATTTTTGTTACAGGCAGAGTTGGCTTTAGTTTCTGTGTTCAAGGTCCAACAATAACTGCGAGCCCAGCTCTCCTGGGGTGAGGAAAATCCAGAGGGGTTTAATCGGCAGGAAATTCAAGTAGGAGGACGCTCTGCTCCCGGCCTAAGATTTCAGCATGCGCTGATGAGCTGCAGAGCTGAAAAACCCCAAGTGTAGGGGGAGGTTCCCGGGGTCTGGCTGTTATTTTTGCGTTCCCTGAGTGAGGATTGCTCATTACAGCCTGGGGGAGGCACGGAGAGGCTTCATCAGCCTGGATGTCTCCAGCAGGTCAGGGC